CACAAGATAGATCCAAGAGATGAAGAGTACTGAGTAGCACTCGTCGAACTGATTCAAGCGAGCACACGCACAAGAATGCGCGTGGAGAACTGGAGTAACCACGGCGATTGAAGCGAGAGCCGAGATAAAGTACGGCCTTACGGCAGTGAGTGTTACAGCTACTTGATGTACGCACTGGTCGTGAATGGTACCACTGCCAAATGTCCATCAAAAGAACGATAACGTGCTGAATTAGTGCAAGATTTACATCCGTTTGCATTTTGTAACATTGCTGCAATGTGCCTTTTACTGCATACTTCTTGTATAGTTTAAGCGTAAAGTTTTCTGGTGAACCGAGAAACGTCCAACGTGTGGCAGTGAGCGCTTTCGTAGTCAGCCACCTAACGTGGTGCATTTGACCAGTTTGATTGAGTTCGTCAAATTCAGCGTTACAGTTGGCTCTCCAAGTACTTAGAAACTAGCTTCAACAATCCTCATTTCTTATCTGGTTTTTTGCGAGAATTGTGTACAATAATGCTTGGTCGAACTATAATCATGTTCTTTATATCCTCGGTGGTGTCTGAGATGGGCGGCCACCTCTTAACTCTGGTATGGTTTTGCATGCTTCTCACGCACCCTCCAGTCTTAATCGCTAGATATAGCATTTAAAACACATTTGTCGCATTTGATACATGTATCAGTGAGGGTTCATTTTCAGCATTTAACATTATCCGCTGCAGTTGTTTTAGAGCATCATCACTGGAAGTGTACAATTGTACATTTGAAAAATAGCATTAGGAGTCAAATGTCACGTATGTAAACGATAACCAATTTCCGTCCTACTGACGGTACAGTGTCCACCAGTTTATCGATGCGGACGATGGTTTCTTAATGTGTAAAACGCCTTCTAATAACTTCTGTTGATACGCGCAATTTCTCAAAGTCCATTATCAAAAATCGGCTATGAACAACGTTAGTGATCTTGTAACTTGTCCACCGGAGGAAAGTGTCATAAGACTCAGTGGAAACCGCTAAACTCTAACAGCTAAAGTAAAAGCGAAGTACTAGTGAGAAGGCAAAGCGACTTCAAGGCCCCACCACTGCCTACCGCTTCATATCAACCATAACCGCATAACTTTTGTCTTACATTTGGTTCGTTTTTCCTATAAGTTCACATACGCTTGTGAAATCAGATAATCAAAATGTCAATTATGAGTGAAGACAAGATGCTCGATTTTATGGCCAGATACACAAATACACTGCTATGCTCGATAGACTCTAAGTTCAAGGCTGGCCGATGTGTTTAATAATGTCTATAAGGTCGGTGTTAGCTCTCTACTGTCCTCATACTCGCAACTAGTCATCTGCTTGCAATAATCGGTCAACGATAAAAAGGATGCTCTGTCAATTCCATAATAATGACTTTCTGGAATATGGTTTTTATTGCTTCGTTCGCCCTAAATGGCATGGAATATTTAAGTTAATAATATAGGGTAAATATAATGCAGCACGTCATGCTACACGTATGAAACAAAGAATAATTGACGGTTCTTCGTAGCCAGCTTCCAAACCAGAAAGCCGTCTACATGTGTGGAAAAGCACTAGAATGCAGTTTTAACCCCTTGGGCATCGTCAACAGTGCGCATCCATCGGATCCAGCAGAATTCTGAGCCATGACTACCAGCGGCTTGAACCGCCAGTCAGCAGCTTATGCCACTGGGCCACGGGGGACAGCTTCAGACCGTCATGATTTACAAGCTAACTGTGATATAGCGCGTCTTATCCTCCACTGCCATGCAAGTTACAAACGTTGCAGAGAACAGGATTGTCTTCGAAACACACGACTGACACTAACAGTAGCCATGTACGACATAGCATTTAGAAACTGCTTTGGAAGCTGGCTGCAAAGAACCGTCAATTAATTATATCAAAATTCCCTACTGATGAGTACAGCAAACAAAGAATACTTTGCTGATTTATTGCTGGGTGCCGTCTATCACAGTCTGGGGGTGTATGCGACCCAAATAACTGAGGCAATGCAATAATCCATTTGAGGGCGAGAAATGGAATATAAACATGGAATATGAACGGCAAGGACCTTGGGTCCTCTGCATTGTGCCCCAGTAAAATACAAGAGAATTTCGAATGAAGCAGGTTTATCTGAATTTTGGATCAGGTTGCATTTTTCATGAACAAATGCTAGGTTGCAGGTAGTAAATTCGGATCTTTTGGAACTGCTTTTGTTGTGCACTCGGTATTGGACTATATAATGATAGCAGCGAGCATTCATCAGAATTGTTGTGTCATTTTTATTGTTTGTTGGGTTGAGTACCAGTTGATATGTGCAGCGAGAATAACCTGAGACAAATAAATTCTAGGTGCTACCTGTTTGCAAAACCACAGTTTTTGTACTTGTACAGAGTTCGTGTACCAGAGCTACTTCATGAGAATCCAGATTCCAAACGAGTCCTTTACCCTTAGGCTACAGTGTTGTGGCAACATCTCGTAGAACATTTGACCATTCGATGGAAAGGAGTCATACTGATGCACTCGTTTTGTGAATAGATTGCAATGCACAATCGGAATGTGGGCTGCCCTTCATTTCGCTGTCTGTTTCAAAGCATGTCTCAAGAAGACTGTCCCAAAATGAAGCCTAATAGAATAATACGCACCCATCCAGTCATACCTCAACATTTTGCTGAATAAAGTTTCAATTTGACAACAATGTCAGTGGAAATGACCAATAACACTGTTTGTAGTGCTTGGTTTATTACACAACATGGGTTGGCATATGGATACCCGGTTTTTCAAACAGAACTTGCTTACTACATTTTTCTGTCAGACCACTAAAACGCGGCTGGAGAAATGGTTTCCATTTACTCTTAATTAGATGATTTTTAAAGTAATTACTTGAGTTAGCCCTAGCTGCTTCCGAATCAGGTAGTCCACTAACTGTCCAGAGTGGCACTAGGCTGAAGTTTCAACCTTTTGGATATCAGCAGTATTGCGCATCATTCGGATCCATCAGGATTCGAACTCATGACCACAAGCAGCTTGCGCTGCCAGTCAGCAGCGTATGCCACTGAGCCACAGGGGACAGCGACTGATCTTCATGATTTACAAGCTAAATGCGATATAGCGTGTCTTATCCTGCGATGGACTCCCAAGTAATTACCTCAAAGTTCTCCGTTCGTGAGTATATGCAAATGTCTGCCCCTACAGTTTCTCGATTCTTGAAGAAGCTCATGGTTGATGAATCCAGTCGCGGAGGAAACTGGTCGCAGGGTATCAGTGTTGCGAGAGTTAACACCGGTGCCCTACAAGTACGAAGGCTGATTATAGCAGCAACAGTTATCACGTAGCCTTCCAACTGACTACCTGTAACATTACGCAAGTTGTTAGTGGTAGTTACTACTGACGTCGTTGCAGGTTGCGTTATTTTTCTGGCTATTTTAGGCGTGATGCAGAAGCAACCAGGTTTTTATAACGACTTCAGTGATGGCTGAGTTAAAACGTAGTTAGAAGGAGTGCATATTTAGTAAAAGTCTAAGCTAAATTTAGATAACAGACGACAGAGCATTCTGATGAAGGCTTGCTACGACTAGGCGAGATTTAATCACGCTTCGACAGTAATCAAAGCAGACACCTGGGTCAATAGCAGCAAACGAATTAGTACATGGTGATGGAACCGAGTCAACCCCAACTGGTAGAGATGACGTCCGACTAGGTCCAGTGCAAATTAATACACGGCTCTTAACTAGTGCTTTACCAGTAAACACATTTCGATGCACCTAATCATTTGATTTGTTTATCTGAAAGTTATGCGTACGTTCAGATTGTTGCCGGAAAGAGTAACAAGAGTGATCCACTCATCGGTCCGTGACGCCAGTTTATCAATGGCCAGCTGATACTTTGTGATGCGCTAAAAAGTTCCCAATGCGGGTGGTGGGAAAATTTGGTTCGTTATCTACCGACAAAAAGAGCTGAGCCTCTAGAAGTAATTGTAGCCTGACCGTTAGTCACGTAAGCACAGAGGTTACGGATGAAAAGCTGACATACTAAGTTGAGAACCCTGTGTAGGAGAGCAGGGCACATAATACCGTTCCATACTTGTTTACCTTGTTGCCAACCGATGAATGAATACAGTGCACTCCGGTATTAGCATTTTGTTATAAGGCCTTATGACCGTATCCACGGGAGTGCACACAATTGCTAAGTATTAAGCATTGATATCTGCAGATAGAACATAAATTTTACGCAATACAACTCATCTTGCCTCTTCCGCTGTTGCCTTCCACGAAAGTGAACTTAACGAGTTATCTGCAGCAGTTAGGCTAATTGCATACTTCACTGAATACTCTCTACTTGCTGAACATCACACAGAAAACAATAGCGAATTATTCTATGTGACCTGATATCTGCACCAAATACACAAACTTAGTTTAAGGATAACTGTCCTCGGACTGGGTGCTGCCGTACATCAGTAGTATATTCTGTATCCGGTGCAGTAGAACCAATAGCTTATTGTATGAAAAGCATGAATTCACTGGTTGATGTTTTGATAGTCCAGCACCGCACTAGTAAATGTATGAGAATTGCTCGCATTATGCCAGGACAAGCAAGTGTTCCATGCTGAGTGTGAGGGTGGACATTCACCAGACGTAAAATTTATGCACTTAATCCATAATGCTTACTCCATATATGTACATTTTACTCCCTTGTCAAGTAAAGCAGAGGAAAAAATTAAAATTTAATTAAAGTTAAAAATTAAATTAAAAATTAACCTTTTCAGCCATCAAGCAAATACTGATGCCGACCACAACCTGCGATTTATCAAGCCAGATGGAGACATATTTGATGAGGATATTCTTCAGAAATCCACTACTGCTAAAAGATTGCACGCCACTTTGATTACCACTAACAACATCACGAATCCTAATCTGCTGGTTCTGAAAGAAAGCAGTCTACCTCCCCGGCGCCAAGTTAATAATCGTTCTACTGCTAAGAAGTTGTCGAACTTGATGGAACCAGTTGTTTTTACCAGTGAAAGAAGTACGACTTCCTTGAATGCGCAACAAGAACTAACGACGTCACATCTTCACACAGTCGAAGCAGTACGAAAGCTAAGCTCAACAAAGCAACCGCATCAAACATATAACCTGGCAACTGAATCAGCGAGCCAAGCAAACACTGAAGTCTCAGGAGAAATAAGTGGAGGTGAAAAGAAGCGTATGTCAGCGGACTTCAATGAGTCGTTACACGCCTCTATGAATGGTAGAATACCCGGCAAAGAAGCAACATTTAATCATTCTAAAAGTAAGTTGTGTTTTTGGAAATCTTCATGAAACTAACCTGGTCCTCCCGACAGTAACGTCACTTAGTAAATTTACTATATTTTGACGCCTTTATACTTTCTAAGCCATGATGCGTCACGAAGTTCTCGCGCTTTAGATCTCATAATGACAACGAAGTGTGTCATTTTCCTGCATTCAGTTAAAAGTTGGGTCATTAATTTGTTAACTGAAAGAAGATTTTTATATGGTGAGATGTGAGATGATCACCCATAGGCTCATACCCATAAACAGGCCTGTTATAGTTTTCAGGTTAGAACTGATGCATTAACACCGGTCTAGGTAGGTTCTTAATTAGTTGCTGACTCCGAAGTTGTAACGTTAATTCCGCTGACTATGTGATTGTTTGCTTTGAAATTTGCTACTTTATCTACTGCTCCAAGCTTTATCAACGTTTTCAAGAGCAAAACATAACTTCGCCAATTCAGCCGTTATTAAAACTGTCGGTTAGTAAAAGGTGTACTTTCATTTACCCTAACTTTTTAAAAATACGCAGCTTGACTTCACTTCAATTTTGCATGCCATTTTAATTAGTTGGAAAATATATGGATATGAATAGTTCAGCAAAAACTTCTCTTTCAGATATCTTTGCTGGACAAAAAATACCAACGTAAGAGTTCTCTCTATAATGGCTTGCTGAAAAGGGATAAAACTGCTAACATTATATCCCCTGGTGTGCATTACAGCGCAAAAATCTAATTTACGTAGTAGTACTTTCTTCGTTGTAATGTTGTACCGTGGTCCTATACTTAGTGTGATTTTTTCGTAGTTACGTTATTTGCCGGTGACACAAGTGCTATGGCAACTGAGGTAATACACTATCCGTACCGGTGATGAGCGCATGACCAATTTACTTTGGATGTTAAAGCAAATGAGTTCCATTTGAATTTTATCAATAACCTACTTGAAACGTACTCATTCATCTGTTGCGACCAAAAGTAATAGTATGCTGCCTATCCTCATTATGTATTCCTGCCGTCATTTTAAATGGCAGCATGTTTATGTCTGCTCACATATCTTGGTGTTTCATACAGATTATTCTTGTATTAATAAGTACTCAAGATGTGATAAATACTCCTGCTATTTGTTTGAATTCGAAAGTGGTTGCAATGCTAAGCTGTTGATGCTGTATAAATCTTGTCTGATCCAAATAGATGAAATTAGCTGAGTGCGTGAACCAGTGTTTGTGAAAATGTAGCATAGCTGCTACTCTTTTTCTAAGTGGGAGTTTAGATCTGTCGGCTAAATCACTAAGACTACACCACTGGAAGGTATACCAGTCTGGTCAAAAATAACCTCAAGTGATGCTGATTTCCAAAATGCCTTAAATACCAAGATATGGATGTTGTTGTTTCTACTGTACATTTTGCGTCCACCGCAGGTGGACTGCAAATAATTTCACTGCAACTGCTCCTCTTTGCACAATAGCGCCACTTCTCTTGACTGCACAGACCACCGATATAGCTTAGCACTTCCAGGTTTAGTTTGTTCACCATCACGGTACCGTTACTTAAGCAGACGTTTAGGCAATTGCATTTATGTTAGGCATTTGTTCCTAAGCTCAGCTATTGATCCGGAACTATGCTCCTGCTACCTACCGTCAGAATTATTCCTTTCGGTACTTTCCCAATGCATGATACAGTGGTGAAAAATTTACTTTTCAAATTTGGTTCGAACATTGCTGATAACAGTTTCTTGGTGCTTTAAAACACCCAAACTAAATTAACTGGAGCCGGTGAGTTGCCCTGATTGGTTTATTCTCCCTCCAGTTACCGCGTACGCATAAATAGAAAGGCCTACCAATTCTTGGGTAATCGGTAGTCAGTCACCTTAGGATAGCATTTTCATAATCCGCATGGTCCAGCTGGTTCATAATGTAGGTTTGCATGCTGCGTCCCAAAAATTATTCGACACAGAAGCAAAAGAATTCATTTGAGCAGTAACACCCAATTTCCATCTGATTCGACTATGGTCCCCTTGATGGCAATGACCTAGGCTCACTGGTATGTGAATCGCAGTCAGCATTGAGACTGCGCGTCCCAATCCAATCACACAACGGGAACTACAAAATGATCAGCAGTATTTGCATTCTGATTAATCCTCTTTAATTATGAAGGACCTAAAGGGCCACTGCATTTGGTCAAGTAATTTGATCACAATAGCATCTTCTACGGTAAATCAGAATTTCTACTAACGACATGGTATCAAGCTGTCTGATCACGGATTAAGAATATTTTCGCTTTTGAACAGTAAATCTAAATTTAGTTAAAATTTCCAGGGCTAGTTAGTTGAATAGCCACTGGTCCACTTAATCCGAAGATCTTTTGCTTGCAATTTGCGAAATGAAAGTTGCAAATGCTTGTCTCCGAATCGAGCGACAATTTTGGCCTGCTAAATTTGCGGTATAGAATAAAAATATGTAATTATTTTGACATCTGAAAAGTGCACTACCTTGACTAAATGAATGTTAAAACACACTTCAACTGTAGCGGTTACAATGATAGAACGGCAGTTTTGTCATACGAAGATACTAAGTCAGGCGTCGTTGGTGGTATTAAATAGCGATGTAAAAATGATTGCTGTAATCAAAGTCTTTTACTACTGCTTCTGGTCTATTAATGTCACTTCGACTACATGCTGCACCTGTTAAAGCTTTGTCTAACTTGGCTAGTGCTTACTTGGATTTATGACTTAGTGTGCTATTCATTAGACCAAAAGATGAACGACCGTTATGGACACACTGTTAGCAACTTCTGTCAAATAATAAAAGCTGTAGGACTAATAAGTTTTAAACTGCAAATTAAGAGATATAGTTGTAGTCTGCATAGATTAGCCTACAATCAGAATGAACTAAAGTAGTGTAGATGACTTCTACTTCAAGTAAGATTATAAAATGCAGCGAAGGTGCAACGCTGATTAATGAGACAAACTGAAGCAACTCTTTGCAAGGTGTCGAGGTAAACGGCAAGGTTCACTTAGCAATAAGCTCCCTCAAGTTGGATCTTCTGACATATTTCTCGCAGTTAACCACTGGAATGCCAGCAGCCCATCGTAGCAATGATTTTGAACCGGAATTGGCAAATATGACGTCACCAAATGTCACGGTAAAGTCACTGGCCACGAACGGATACGATAAATATGTGGACTTCAATACATGCAAACCTCGCCGAAACTATACGCAGCCACAAAGATGTTTCATGACTAGAGCATAGGAACCTAATATGTTAGTTGAATGGGAATTTTTACAGATCTAGTTAAACCTTTAGCTACAAGTGGAAGTAGCGCTTTCTTCAACATAAATGGAATGAAATTTCTATGAAAATATAGTGACGGATATCCGGCTATACGGCTAGATCACGTGATTTGCATTATTCTAACCACCACACAAGTTCGCAATTTAGTTCAACCAGTGTAGAATTGACGCCCACCGAACATCGGAGTGTATAGTAAGCAGTTATGATGGACAGGGTTTACGATGTACCGACTTGTTAACAGTATTGCACCTAAGCGATACTGCCAATCGGTAGAAACGAACAAGTGGCTCCGGTGCACCTGCTGTTCGACCAACCACCTTGTGCACGGTAAACATACATGTAATGATACCAAACCGGATGTATGCAACCACTGTTTAGCCATGCACTCGAACACACTGTGTGCAATAAGTAGCGTTGGCATAACCTGGTTGGCGCCGAATCAGCCTTAGCTTCATGGCATGTGAAGACGAGACGTTTCCAGTAATTATATAGTTCACAACTGCCTTCTGTTTATTTTCGTCCTTGATTTCAGCAAATGTAATAACTCACTAGAGTGTGAGAAACATTGTTTCGCGAAAACCTTATTAAGGTACGTATAATAGTGCATAATGTAGAGGCGTTAACAGCACTTTAATTTGACCACTTAAGGTACTGGACCAAAGTCAACAAATTGAGTTGGTCAAAATATAGATATCTGGATCCGTAAGGTTTACATTGTGAACATCCAGCAACAACAATAAGTTGTCAATAATGAGAGGTGTTTAGGATATGGAAGAGTTATTGTGAAATTATCAGGATTTTGCGAAATGTGTTTGTAAAGAACTGTGAATTTGTAGTAGGCTAAGAGGTCTATCATTTGGCAAATAGTAAGGCACATTCATAGATCAGAGTGGGTTCAGCCTCCATCGGCTAAGGAAGGCAAGTCAACTCTAAAGGAGGGACTCACCTTGACGTCATCCTATCCAAAATCCTACAACGCATGATAAGTAAGGTAGCTGTGATAATAGATGACCAAAGTAAAGCTCACTAGATGCCCAACGATGGAGACAAAGTCAAACTGAGTGGTCTAGTCAATCCGTACAGTAGGATCGCAAAAAGCTGACAATGGCCCGAGTTCCTCAGGTGGGTTCCCAAATGAATTAGTAGTGTTTGATAAGTTAGATGTCTTATAAAAACTGGTTATTAGTAACAACTGTTACACAAATTGCTAAGCTTTCAAGTGGTAATACGGCTTTCGTTAGATCCGTGGAATAGCTCGTGGTGTGTATACCCTGCGGAGTGGGGATCAACGGTGCGCAGCTGATCACAGACAGCACCAAACTTCGCAAGCCGAACGACCTCGGCAGGATCGGACTCGTCCTATCAGCTTAAGCTTCTGTCATTCAAGTGAAACCGGGTAAAAAACGTGTTGTTGAAGTTCATTCCATCGGCGAGGCTTTTACTGACTGAACAGACGCCTGACCAGATACCAAGCGCGGTCATTCAAGAGCACATTGAATTAGTAAAACTGCAGGACTGCACTAATTGCGTCCTCAATATGGTGAGTTAGACAAAGATAGCTGCGAGATAGTCTTTCATTACCTGACTGTTTTTATGGTTGTTATTTTCTTCCTTGTAAATAAATTACAGGTGTTTTAGGTAGTTTGAGTTGAGAAACTTCCATCTTCGTTTGAAAAACCTCCAGTTAGGCATAATAAATATGCGGCTCTAA